ATTATTTATTCGTGAATAAGTTTAAATGAATTTATATTTCTTTTACAAATTTTATCCTTTATAAATGGTCAGTATTCATATATCATCACAGTTCAGTAGACCTTTTCCTGCTAAATACTAAAATGTTTTCAATATTTTACTATGTCCTTCAAACCAGCTTTTGCATTGTTAAAACGTATATTTTGTATTTTGTTAGCCTTAAAGGCATCTTAGTTATAGAGCAACTTTGATTTCAATTGTTTACTTATTTTTATATAAAACATCAGAAGGCTTTATTTGTGTTTTGTTTTATTCAGGTTAATATTACTTTTGTTTTTTTTTTTTTTTACCGCATAACGTGTAATATATGTTTGTAGAATTTCCGTGTTAATCAAAATCGCAAAAAATTAAAATAAATAAATAAAACAAATAAATAAAATTAAATTAAACAGTTCCATATCTTTGGTATTGTAGATCGAATTGCAAGCACTCATTTGAAACAAAAATCTGACCGCAGAAATCACTTTTTTATGGTAATTTCAAGAATGTAGCGTTAGTGAATTGAGGATGATCCCCAAACTTCATTCAGAAAGCAAAATTCATTTTAAATTCTACACGATTTTCAGCAAAGCACTAACTTTGTAGGATGATCGCTTGGCTTTTCAAACCTTAACGATCTACACTGGTTGTAATGCCGTGTGATTTTTGTCGACAAATTGTGAAATGAAATGTGAAAACAATCAATGACCCAGGATCAAAAGCTCTCACAGATATGTCAAATATTGTAACTCAAATAATGGCAAATTTTGTAACCTGAATATTTCAAATGTATACATCTCAACATGAGATATGATTTCGGGGTCCTCATTAAGACGTACTTGAGGTTTCAAAAGCAAAAACCTAATGATGCAAATCGGAACTACAGAAAAATCTTTCTTGATTTTCTAGTTAATAAAGTGAAATACCCTTAAACTAACTGTCTTAGTCTGTAACATCTAATACACAAGACACCAAAACACCTTAAAATCAGCCAATTTCTTCAAACCAGAAATTCCTGTCGACAAAATTAACGATCGTTTTAATATACGGTTTGCCTAATCAAATTTGGTGTAATCGTTTACATATTGGTTTAAGGTAACAACAGCACATTTACGACAATCGTCAATCGCCCGACACAGCAAACCAGAATACCTGAACAAACAAGATACGGTAGTAACTTGGAACATTTCAAGCTTTCTCCATACCCAGCACAATCCGGTCGTCACCAAGAAAAAATGTGTGACATAATGACTTGAAATAATGAATGCAATTACCGGTTTTATTTGTAATTAACATTCATGGTTGCCAAGCAACCATATATACCTAAAGACGTTTTATGGAAAATAACCTGTGAGTAATGATGCAAAACTTGTTCAGCTTTATTACTAGCTTCAATCCCTCTTCCCAGAACACCTGTAATAGGTTATTTAGTGGACATACATTACACAACATATAGCATAGAGTGATAACTTTCATAGCCAAACGGAAGAATTAACACTTGGTGTGTTTGAAGGATTTTAAATCAAACCTAAATCAAACTTATCTTAGCAGTTTGACCCAGTTAATCCCTTAAGACTGCAGATGCGACGAAGAAGAGTTAAATTTAGGTTGTTAATTATTTACCTACCTGAATAATCTTGATAATAAAAGTATGATCTTTTGTCACTCAAGATTAAAAAGGAGGAGCCGAAAAGCGGGTTTACAGACATACACCGTGTAACAAGAAAGTTCAGCTGTTTAAAATTCTGGCGATTTTTTTTCCTTCCGGTTCCATTCAACATAATTACGGTAAAAAAGTAGCAAGTCGCCAAAGCGAGAGACTAAGAGTGTGATTGCTAGAGACAGGTAGTCCTATCGGCACACACTTTGGTATAATTGCAATTTTTTTTTACAAAAAAACAACAACAAAAAGCACACTTCCCCCAAATCCATTGACTAAAATTGTGCGATTTCTTCATAAAGATTCAAGAAATCGGAATATTAGACCAGTTCATTTGTTGCATTACAAAAGGCGACATGTTTTTAAAGCCCCCTCCCCAACCTCCCCCACCAATTGCATATACATACCAGTAAGAACGTTTCCTTTTGTCGATATCAAAGGAAACACAGGGACGGACCCCCTCCTCCAGCTGCACTACGTGCCCCAAAGGTTCATCGTCTTTTTTTAAATGAAATGTTTTTTATCACACATTTACAAAGTATTACAATTGAAATACCTATAACTAACATCTTATAAAAATCCCCTGACTGATCAATGAATGTGAATGTTTTTATAAGGTTAGTTTTGAAAATTTGTCACAGAAAAATATTTTATTAAAATAAAAAGACGAAGAACCCTTAGGATACGGAGCGTGGCTGGGGGAGGGGGTCCGTCCCCAAGCACCTGTGGATGGAAGCACATATATATGTACTTTGAAATGTAAGCAGATTTCACGTTGTCTTTTAAAAATTAAGTAAAAACTGGTTCAAATACACAATTCTGATGCTGAAAGTTCCAACATAATTGCTACTTAATAGATATGTTTGGATGGTGAATATCCGGGAAATCAATTTACATTAGCAGTACAATAAAGCAAATGCAAGAACGAAGAAGATGCTTGAGAAGGAGTTATTACCCCTAGCAACAATTTTTAAAGATTGAATAAATAAAGAAAATATACATTTTTTAAATTCTTTTACTTAACAATATTTTTTATTACACCAATTAAAAAGCATTTTCCCAAAAGATATTTTTCTTTTGGACATGAATTTAAATTAATAACAGTTTTTGCAAAAACCTATGACATCACAAGAGGATGGAAATACCTTAACAAGGAAATGTGATGAATGTATGTATCTGAGCATAAATTAAATTAATTAATCATTCTCGACATTATTGAAAGACGATTAATTCTCTAGACTATTGTTAGATGAATCAAAGGTTTTTTCAGAAATATCTCTGTACGAGGAAATATTTAATGGTTTAAGGCATAACAAACGTATTACACAAAGGTGTAACCTGCATGGTATTTCTCACCCCACCAAACTTAAGCCTTTCGGAGGGAAAGTATGCATGAGGGAAAACGTATTAGGTCTTATCCTCAAGAACTTTTAAAACTGAAGGAATTCCTTTTATTTCATGATCATTCGGATAGATATTGGCATGTGTATCTGTAGGTTTTATTTGCGAAAGCGAGGGGAGATTAAATCTCCTTTGTCTGTCTGTCTATCACAAAACTTTAACCTTGGTCATAACAGATACGACTTTCATATTGTTACTTGTTACCTTTCCAAATATACTATGATTTTTTACCCCGTGACCTTGACGTTTGACCTTTTAAAAATTGTGACATAAATGACTTTTGAATGCGAGACGATAGGACGTTTATATTTCACATGTACACTACCTTTGATCAGACCTTTTCGAATATACAGTGATTTTTGACCTCATGACCTGACGTTTAATCTATTTTACAAATATTTTAACATTGGTAATAACTATCGAATAAGAGAAGACAACTCTTTCATATTTTATTGTGACATTATCTGTGACAACACCGTATTACTTTTTTTTACCTCATGACCTTGACCTAGAAGCTTGGCCTCTTTTCAAAATTTATAACCTTGGTAATAACTTTTGTACCAGAAGATACTTTCTTATTTTTTTTTTTTCACATGTGCATTACTTGTAACAATCTTGACCTTGAAGTTTGATGCAGTTTTCAGAAACGTTAATCTTGGTCCTAACTTTTATTAATTCAAAACTTTAAATCTCCTCTGTATTATGGACAGATACGATAGGACGGGAACACAAGTTACAGTATGTCATAAATAATTGCACCCCAACCAATAAAACCCAAAAAGCGGTAGCACAATTTTCTGAATTTGCTTGTTATGCATCATTACTACAGTACAAAGGGATGTAAACTGCCCTCGAAAGAATCAAATCACATTGTGTTTGAAAAAAGGAAGAATGTGGATCAAGGTGTTGCGAAATGCAAATATTTGTCACAAATCTTTTTTTTAAATAAAAAATTATCAAGTATATAAAATTGTAAACTTAATAAGATACGGAGTTATAAAACTCAAACCAAAGTCTAATTTTTATCCAACGTTATGCCAAAAATCTTCATCTAATTAATTGTAATTTATGCCTTATGTCATAATCATGTATCGTATCAAACTGTATTTTGACCCACTTTATCTAATCATCGGTTCTGTACAAAAGTATCCAATGTTAACTTTGAGGTAAACCCACATCTTTGGATGTACAGACGACATGAGCTCGCCTTATCATTTACTTGTTTTTATCGCTTTAATCCATCTGCTTTGATGGCGTGTGGCGAGTCTATAAAAGGGAATCTAAAGATAAAATTCCCAGACCACTATTTTGTCGTGTCCAAGTTCACTAGTTCCAATTTCATAAAAATGTTTCAAATTTCATTGCGCTTTTCATTCATTCAGTCGTACTAACGATACACAAGTAGATAAATATGACGCAAAAATTTGTTCAATTTTCTGGATGGGTAGGAATGGAATTTAAAGAGCAACTCTTCTTGACATACGAGCCATTTCACTTGTATTTTATGGCATATGTACTTCTTAATTACGTTTTGACGCATATGAAGCATCCAAAATATTGCAGAGTAACATATTTTCGTAAGTATTTTCTCGCTTACAGAGAGTAAGCTGAAAAGCAAGCATGCCTGTCTAAAGATGCGACATTGCTAAAACAAGCACGGCAGTTGCTTTCTTTGTAAATGTTCATCTTTACACGATAGAGCGTTTATGCAAATTTAACGAAGCATCCAAGTGTTAATCCTATTTACAGATCAATGCCAATGGGTGCAAGGCTCTTTGTGAAATTGCTTTTTATCTTCTCTGCAGTTCGTTGTCCTACACATCCAACATGAATTCAGTTTCAGTTGCAATAATTACTAACAAAACTAAGTGTATTTTTATCCAGAATTATTCACAAAGTTATAAAATATCAACCACACAAAAACCTTTCAATTTCTTTTAATGTTTACTATTCAAACTAGTTAATTTTTCCAGATTTTTATTTCACATTAGGTCTTAATCTGTTAATTGTTAACTTTCCCCTGTTATAACAGAGAAACATAAAATAAAGAGATTAGATAAAATATTCATACCCTTCTCGTTTTGTCAATGAAAATACATTGGAAAGTTATATTCACTCCATTTATTCAAACATAACTTTTTACAAACAGATGTACATCCACTTTTATGCCCCCCCCCCCCAACAATAAAAAAAAAGATTTAAACATCAGACAATTTCACCACTGTTTTCATGAATAAAAGTATTCTGCTGGATTTTTTATCGGAGGATAATGAAAATATGACTAAGGATTGATGCAATCTATTTTTTTTTTTGGTGTCTAATGAATATTATGTAATGCGGTGATACATGAGTAGAATATCATAACACCATTTTTGTTTTATAACAAGTAAATAAATGGTACATGAAAAGAGACACCTAAATTCATTCATTTAGAATTCAAACCAAACTAGAATTTACCCCATGAATGTGCTAAAAATCTTTAAGAAAATGATAATGATAATTTTAAATAAGAAAAAAATTACTCATACATTTATACTTTCTGTCTTAATAATTCTTTTTTTTCTTCTAACAATATACTATCAGGACAAAGAGAGTAAAAATGATGTAACATTTCAAAATGCATGCATACTTCATGTCACACAAATACATGTATAGTACAATTTCTATTTTAATAGAATATATTTACAAATTGACTACAGTACACCAGGTGGGTCACCATAGAGACATATAAACTATAGATATTATACCTGAAACATATAAACAATTTGACAAATTCACTGGATTTTTTTTCCTTTTAAAAATTAAGTTAACTTCATGATAATTATTTTGACATAAGAACTACCATTAGGGTCTGCCATTTCTATCCTAGAACTCTGGTAATATTTCTTCATGTTTCACCATTTTAGGTAGACTATTCAGATGCTAGTGAAAACAAACATAAGAAGAAACAAGTTGCCATGTTTTTTTGTGAATGTAGAGGTTAAGTGGATTTCTTGTTGGCCTGTTGGTTCTGACAGAGTACAGGTGGTCGATTTTAGTAGACAGACAGACTCATCAATCATGTTACCACCAAAACCACAGAAGCCATAATAAACAGCTCCTGTATACAATCACAAAAATTATCCTGATTCTGAGAGCAATATCGTGTCTAACACGCTGATCAAACACTATAGATATCACAAAGAATCTGATGCACCTTAAAAACATACAATTATCTTACAGATCTTGGTGGGGTGGTAAAGTGGTTGAAAACTGGTTTCCAAGTTCTCGGATTAAAATGTATAAAACTGAAACCAGAACAAAAACGGCTGTCCCTAACAGTATCCATAGCAATGTGTCTCCTTGGTAATCCACCTGGCTCATGGTCAATCCAGCTCGTCTGGTCTGACTGGTCTCTTCAGCGGGATCATACTCTTCTTCTCTTTATCTCTGGATAGGGCCTTCCTCATGTCTGCCAAAAAAAAAAAAAGTGACCAACTAGCATTTTTCTTTGAACACAACCTGTCTTTAATAGATTAAATATAACCTGAGCATGCTGCATCATCATTATTTTAGGTGACATTTAGATAGATTTTAACATAACTAATGCATTAATGATATTCTTTTTAGATTATTACAAATGCAACAATGAAATAACAAAAAACACCATGGACAATGGCAGGTATGAAAATTTGCCATCTTTCTTTTATCATACAAGTTTGACTGAATATGAAATGTTGGGCTAGTGTTCTGGAATCTGATTTTAGTTTTAGATACTCGTATTTGCGTTGCACATGTATAATCACTTTAAAAAGGCTTCATATCAATCACTTAAATCATGATGTGATAAATTTCATGGGAAGTGGTTTTGGAATTTCAGTCTAAGATCACAAAATTTATCAATGAAGGAAATGATATAATCTCTCAAATGATTGACGAAAACTGGAAAATGAAGTATATATAAATAACTTCAAGAAAAAATGATGAAAAAAAATTGGAAGAGTGGATTATAGGATTCTATCTCAGTAAATATTTCAGCTTGGTATTTCCTTATTTCTCCACTAAGAATCACAAATATCCCACTCAGCAACAATACACAGAACAGACAACCAGACCTGTCATAAAACAATCAGAGATCTATACAGAACTGTTTCAACTGAGGTGAACTTTGGCTTCTGCGTACTTTTACGAATAATTGTTTCAAAAATTGGCAAACCTGAAGCTGAAGATCTAGAAATCAGAGAATTTGTGTACTGGCCCTCTAATCTGGTGTTAGCATGCTTTTTTAACTGTGCAGTCTTTAACACACAGCCTTAGATAATATTCATGTATTTTTTTTTTTTTTTGAAATGAAAAATTCCATATGATAGATTTTTTTTTAAAATCCATATGTTGAGAATAATTGTCAGGTGTGTGGCCAAATGTTTGTTCTGGTGATGTACAGGAGGTACAGTTCCTGATATAATTCATCTCTTCTGACTTATTAAGATCTGGAATAGGGATGAAAATGTTATTCTTTATAGCAAAATAATTATCTAGTTGTCAAATTTTGACTGATCTTGACAAATTGTTTCACAAGATGTACACTATACCCATGTAATTTTTAGCCTTTTTTCCTGGATGCATAATTTTTAAAACCTATCGTAAATTATAAGATTATCTGGATACCAGGTGCAGTCAAATGAAAAAAAAGATGAATCTTAGGAAAATATTTTGATCTGATTTTAACTTCCATCTTATCTCCTAGAGCTTAATATCCCAGCCATTCATAAAATTTAAACTCTTTAATAACCTATGATCATCATCTATAGTGTTAAAAAAAAATCTCAGTATACTTCAAACAAACCTGAAGACCTGATAAAATATTTGAACTTGAGTGCATTGTATTAACACAATGTTGGACAGATGAACTGACAATTAAATCTCAGGGGTTACTAAATGTATTCCAAGTGAGCTTGTAGAGGTGAACTTAATTGTGGAATTCCAACTTCACGGTGGTTATAGTCTTCTCTATTAAAAAAAATGTTAAAAAGTAAAAAAGTTTACATTCTGTAAATTGATTAAGAATAAAATGTTAATCATATGCAAGGAAAAATTGTTTTATAAATAACTTAAAATAAATTTATTTCTGAGTTGCATCATCTGTCTTCCAAAAGTTTGAGAATGCTCATATTCCTGATGAAATTGTCTCAGTAAAATCATGATTTAGTTATAGGGTTGGAATAATACACTACATAATACAATACATGAGAACTGAGAACACTAAAGCTTAATAGGATTACGGAAAGCTAAAAGTAAATGTTTTTAAACAAATTTTGTGATGAACTATCAGAGATAGAGACAGAGAGAGCTGGAGACAAAATTTAACATACAGTTTTGTTAATTCTCATCATTAATTATTACAACAAAAAATAGTAAAATTGTCTACTTAAAAGACTTCATTTTTGCCCTAAAAAATATTCGTTGAGAAATTGAAAAGATTTTGACCCTTAAAGATGCCATGTCCTACTGAAATTCTAAAAGGTCTGTTTCCTGCATTACTAAAGCAAAGAAACAATCAGAATGAAATTGCTGAGCAATTCAATGTGCCCCAATCCACTGTATCAAGACTAGAATGAAGACTTGTGTTAGCAGGAAGCATTAAAGACAGTGCCCAAAAAGTGGACTTTACGGGGGACGACTGGACTTCCGGAAAGAGAGATCCATTTAATCTATCAACTGAACAGTTTTCAAACTATGACAGTAACTGCTATTACAATTCCTGGAAGCAGCAATGCCAGAATTAGAGAAAACTGTATGCAATAGTCTCATAGAGGCAGGCCTCAAAGCTCGCGGGCCATCCCTTTACAACAATTGATCCACATTACTCATGCATGCCAAGATTTCCATGTGACCAACAATGGACATAGAGTGGTCACCATTTAATCCCAAACTGTCTCCAGTTGAGTAATTATGGGGAGAAATGGATCAACAAATTTGACTTCCATATCCGATTTTAAATGCCACCAATGAGTTGAGGCAAGTACTTATGGAGGAGTGAAATCTCATCCCTATTCGAAGAATCAACCATCTGATCAATTTCATACTAAAAATGATACCAGCACCTGTAAATGAAGGATGATGACAGATGCGATATTGACTTTTGAAGTTTTGAATTTTAAATTCCAGACCCTTACTCCCTATAGTCAAAATTTGCAGTGCTAAAATGTTGATTGCTTTGATATTACTCCTTGATACATGACAATTAATAATGAAATATTACTTTAGGAATGACTCTAATTCTTGGCCAAATTATTCGAGTATAACCTGGTTTGGGTCAGTTTACGCTTTATAATCCGCGAAGCGGATTATAAAACAGCGTAAACTGACCCAAACCCAGTTATACTCGAATAATTTGGCCAAGAATTAGAGTCATTCCTTATAATTTAATTTTAAAATCATTAAATAACTATGGGTGTAAAATTTCGTTGCTTTTTATTAGTTCAAATTTGCCGCTCAATAATACAACCATAGTAACGGAAGTGATGGGAAGCGAGGGGAGGTAAAAACTGATACATAGGCCTAGCAGCTTGTTTACGTGTGGTAAGATCGAATTATTGTTTGAAGTTAAAGGTATATTTATTAAATCTGGAATTTTCCATGAATCCCGAGGACTGAAAATGAGAGGATTGTATGCATACAGATGATTCAGCTGGTTGTCAGGGGGGGGTGTCCCCATACCAAACCAGGTTATACAGAAATAATTTGTGTTCCTTTTTGGATATTAACCAATCAGAGGCTAGAATACAAACAAAATTAAATTATATACAATTGTACATGTATTTTAGGAATGACTCTAATTCTTGGCCAAATTATTCGAGTATAACCTGGTTTGGGTCAGTTTACGCTTTATAATCCGCAAAGCGGATTATAAAACAGCGTAAACTGACCCAAACCAGGTTATACTCGAATAATTTGGCCAAGAATTAGAGTCATTCCTTATAATTTAATTTTAAAATCATTAAATAACTATGGGTGTAAAATTTCGTTGCTTTTTATTAGTTCAAATTTGCCACTCAATAATACAACCTTAGTAACGGAAGTAATGGAAATGATGGGAAGCGAGGGGAGGTAAAAACTGATGCATAGGCCTAGCAGCGTTGTTGTTTGTTTACATGTGGTAAGATCGAATTATTGTTAAGTAAAAGGTACATTTATTAAATCTGGAATTTTCCATGAATCCCGAGGACTGGAAATGAGAGGATTGTATGGATACAGATGATTCAGCTGGTTGTCAAGGGGGGGGGGGGTGTCCCCATACCAAACCAGGTTATACATAAATAATTTGTGTTCCTTTTTGGATATTAACCAATCAGAGGCTAGAATACAAACAAAATTAAATTATTTAGCTATAAATGTGCAGCATAGTAATTAATGCTAACCTTATATATTCAGATATGCAGTTTTTCCTTTCAGTATACATATAGCCATTCAAATGTCTAGCAAGAGGAGTCTAACACAGTTGCAGAATTCATGATTTTACCTATATTCTGTACTGTCATAACTAAATCAGAGCAGAAAAGAGAGTAGTGTACATAGTTTTTTGATGCAATATATATCCGCACACTGCTTCTTTTTATTGCATCAGAAAAGTTGACAAGTACAAGATTATTTCTGTCGATATACCAAAGCTAGTAAGCTGTCTAGCAAATCTGTAATTAGTGCAACCATTGGTGTTCCTAATGACACATTATATCCAGAGAGACCAGACTGAGTAATAACATTGTCTTTCCAGTCAAGTTTCTCTGTGGCACTCTGTCTTCTGTCAGAAAGCATTCATACTACTGCTGTTTTACATCAATGATGAACAAGAATGATCAGTAAACTCATTTGCAGCATCAGAAATGCCACTAAATTCATCTTCAGATTTGACAAAGACTGTAATGCATGTTGCTATTAACTGTCATGTACTCATAGACCCATGAAAAACGTTCATATTCATGTAGTGAACATAAGATCTTACATGATGTTTTAATGACTTCATCGGTTTTATGATCCCTTTTTAAGACATTTTTTCCCCTAAAACGTAAAATTTTTACCTAGATTTAGTAGATATATAATACATAATTACTTCATTGACAAAATGATTGCAATTATTTATCATTTAAAAAGACTTTTGAAGGCATACAGAGAATTTTTTTTCACGTACAGAATATAATTGCTATATCATGTATATGGGCTTTTTCAACTGCAATTTATTTAAGAAATAATTCCCAAGTCGAAGGAATTGTTGGAAAATATACCCCGATAGTCGAAAGATTTTTTTGGAAAATAAAAACCAAGCCAGACAGGTGAGGTTTTTATTTGCCAACAAAATCTGGAGACTGAGGGGTATATTCTCCAACAATTCTGATGATGAGGAAATAAATTCTATTCTGTTACAGCAAATATTTTAACTTCCATATAGAGAAAAGCAGAAGCTAGATTTGGACG